ATAAAGCTATATTAGTAAATCAAATAAATAAATAAATAAACAAAATAGAATATTATATAACATACTAGGTGATATCATCCTAGGTGAAAAATAGTTATAAACTAGTATTTTTATGCTTTGTAAATTATTGTAAAAGTTTTTACTTTATTAAATTTGCTAATATGATAGAAATTAAAGATATAATTATAGTAAAAAAGTTGAATTTTATATTAGAAAAAGTTAAAAGTCATAGTAATAATAAATAAAACAATTTAGTAGACAAACTAGCTAAAGATAGTACTAAGCAAAAGGCTTATATTAGTTTTATTATAGAAACAATCCTTGGCTAAGATGTTAACTAAAGTGGAAGCAATATATAGTTAAATCAAACTTAAGAAAAAATTTTTTTGAAAAATTTTTAGAGCCAAAACTAGTATATATCCAAGATAGTATAAAAGATAAAAAGCAAATTTAATACAAGTAAAAAAAAAAGAAAATATTACTTGGCAAATGTTTTGATTATATTTTTATAACTTATTAAGTATAAGATATATATTACTAGAAAAAAGCAATTATTTATTCTTTTGGTTTGAGTATTTATTAAACAAGCTACTAGTTTTAAAAAAGTTAAAAAAAAGAAAACTAAGAGTATATAAAAAAACTATTTGTATTAGTTGTAATACAAAAGTTGTTAAATTATCTGATTATCTATTCAAATTTGACAAATATAATATAAAATAGTTGTAACTAGTGTTGGCCAAATTACTAGTTAACCAAATATTCATTAGTTAAACTGGTCTAGTCAAATTGGTCAAATAGTCTAGTCAAATTGGTTAAATAGTTTAGTCTATTAATTAAATAAATTTAATATACAAAATAAATATATATATAAATATATATGCATATATATTAGAGTGTTTGGCATGGATTTAGATAAATAGCATGCTACATGGCATGCTATTTTTTTAGACATGCCATGACATGCCACTAGGTGTCTGGTATAGATTTAGATAAATAGCATGCTACATAGCATGCTATTTTTTTTGCTACACAATATTATATATATTGTTAAATATTAATAATTTAATAAATCTGTAATTATATGTTTATAATATTCAAGATTAAAATTTAATGTACTACGTAGTAAATCCTTTTAACTCATGTTTTTCTTTTTAAAATAACAAATATGACTGTTTTATGAAAACTGTTTTTTTTAAAGAACATAATCCTAACAAAACCAACTAGCTAACTTTATTAGAACTATGATTTTTCTAAAAAACAGGTTTTGGAAATCTGATTTACAATGTACTAATACATTATACCTGCTCTTTTTTTATAATGCAATTTAAAATAATGTGTATACTGAGAAATAATGATTTGCACAAAGATTCTAATTCTAAGCAATATACAAAATAATTAAAGTAGTTAGCTAAAGAATAACAAGTATAATTAAAATACATAATAAAAACTTTTAATCTAAATATTTTACTTTATTTACTAAAATATACTAATTACAATTTTATTAAATTTCAGATTGAGAAAAAATATCATCAATTAACCAATCTTTAGTATTAGTAGAATTTTGAAAATAAGTTGTTGAACTTTTATTAACAACTTCTTGCTCTTGTTGTTCAAAAATACCAATATCAAAAAATTCATTTATTACTAACTCATCATCTATATTAATATTTACTACTTCAACTTCAAATTTCAAAGGCTCTTTAAATTCCTCTTCCTTGAAAAGATCAATACCAAAATCTTTAGTACTTGTCATATTTACAAGATTTGTAGGTAATATTAGATCTTTAGTCTTTCTTTTTAGTGTTTTAAATAGTTTTTGTTGAAGATTATGTCAAAGAATTCCAAGAATTTTTATTAAATTAGTAGATATTCTGTTTTAAGACTTTGTTTTTACTAACTCCAAGCTAGAAAATAGACATTCAATGGCTACTGCATGCAGAACAATTGAAAAAACCTTTATAGCAAATTATTATAAAAGTGGAAAACCTCTGGAAAATTGTTTCTAGAAGGTTCTAGGATTAATATTGTCAATATTTTGGTAAGTGTCAAAAGGAGCATCTCTATTTTTATAATTGATAAGTTTAAATAAAAGAGTTGTTTCTCTTTTATCAAAATACCAAGCTTTTGCTAACTCTAATAAAACTCTAATTATCAAATCACCAGACATTTTTCTTGATATTGTGACTCTTTTATAATATGAAGACAAAAAAAGAGCAATAAAATAAATATTATTAGAGAACTTACACACTTGTTTATTAATAGCTGCTAATATATAATCCTTAAAACCATCAATTAGAATATTAGCTCTTAAAATAGTAAAATAAATATTTAACAGTTCTTTAAAAATATTAGCTAATATAGTTTTTTTTTTATTCAAGATAGCTAGTAGAATCTATGATAGAAATAAACACTGCAACTAATATATCATTATTAGCAAAATAATAATGATTTTTAACAATATTTCAAATTTTTGTTTTAATTATAAGATAATTATTAGTTCCACTAAGATCAATACATTGAGAAAATCTTTTTTCAAAAGCTTTTAAACTCAAACAAACTTTGCAAGGAAGTACTATCTGGTTTTACAAAATATTGTAAGAGAATGAGCTACATCTTTTTGTTTTTGCCAATCTTGTAACGTTCTAAGCCAGATATAGAAAGATATAAAAAAGTTGATAAGTTTTTAGTTATTTTTAATAACTGCAAGTAAAGGTTGGTAAAAAAATATATCTTTGGCAATTAGATTAAAAGAGTAGAGACAATAGTGAATTAGAATTATATTTGAATATTTATTTCTAAATTATTTCTCATTTTAACCATAACTAAAGGATTATCTGTTATGCAAGCAATAACAGAATTAATAGAGATCGAATTTAATTCAAAAACTTTTTCAATTTTTTCTTGAAGAAAAACTGCAATATAATGATTTGCTAATAGGTCAATAATATCTAAAATATGTTTTTGTTCTTCTTTTAGTGACATAAAACTATAAATAGAATTTCAGAATACATCTTGCTATCTGTCCAAAGCTATAGTAATATTAGTAAGAGAAAACATTATTTTTAACTTATTATTCATATAAATTGAAAATGAATTGTTAAAAATCTTATTGCTCAAAGTTTCAGGAGAAGGTGGGCAATAATTTGGGGCTAATTTATTAAGAAATTCAAGAAAATAAAGGTTTTTATCTATTTTAAAAGAAAGGTTTCTATAAATAATAGCATCAAGTAACTTTTTGTCAATTTTGAATTGTTTTTCTTGTGAGATTGGCTTGATAATTCAATTTGCTAAATTTTCTTGCCATTTTAATATAGATGAAGAGAGACTATTGGAGCTATCATTCGAACTATATAAACTTTGTTAGCTAGGTATTTTATATATTAATAAATTATATATTTGTAATTAATAACATACTCTGACTATTCTTGGTCTAAACTAATTAAATTTTTTTTTATTTTTATGAGATTTAGGAGTGAAACTCATAGCCTCTTGAATATAATTATTCTTCACAGTAATAGGCTATTTATCATATGCAATAGCATGACTTTGAAGCTTTTCAGGCCTTCCAGATAGCTTATATTTATAATAAACCATTTAGCTATATATCTATTGCCTATACCTTTTTCTGAAGAACACCAAAACCTAGTCTAACAGTAATCATAGATTAATATGTTAGGAAGAACAAAACCAGGTGGTAGTTAAGATTGCATAATATTAGAGTTTATTTGTTGATTATCGATAAGAAATATAAGATGATTTTTTTACATATTAAATTTCTTTTTTTTTATATTATATATAAAACTTTGATTGATTTTTAATCTATTTTTATTATGGGTTTGTTTGACTAAATTTGTGTTTCAATCAAATTTATATATTTGATTTATTATTGATATTTTGATAATTTTGGTACTAATCATATTATCTTATTAAAATGTTTTGATTAGTATAAAAATCATCAAGATTCGATTAATTAATTATAAGATATCAATAATAGATCAAAGTATATAAATTTGATTGAAACATTTATTAGTCGAAATACAAAATTAAATTCTATATTAGAAGATAAGATTTTTTTTATATAGATATTCTTTTTTCACATTGCTAACAAATTTTCTTGAATGTATAAAAGTTTATTTTACATATTATATTAATAAAAAATTTATTTTTCTATAATAAGTATTTTATTCTTTGTATCAGTAATTCAAGATTTTTTTTTTGTTATACAGATACTCATTGTATCATTATTTAACTTTCAATTAATTCAGATTTTGTTATTAAAATATATTTATATTTTTATGTTTTTATTCAAATTCACATTCCATTTAATGATAATACTTTCTTTGGTTAGCTAGTTTATCGAAAAGAAATAGCATGCTTGAAAAAACCTAAAATACTAGAAAGCCAATTTCCAGATTAATGATTTAATTAAATTGCCTAATAAGTTCAAATTGGGTTATTTAACTTGTTAAAGTTAATGCTTTTATGTACATATAAGAAAGATGAATCATATTTTATATAACCTTTTTTCTTAGAATTTTGCTACTTCTGTAATAATTATTAATTTATAGTTTTTATTTAAAGATTGGGCATGTATATGGTTTCAAAATAGTGTTCAAATTCAAAAATCAATAAAATAACAAAGTACACAAAATAAGCTATATATTTTATACAAAATAAGCTATATTTTATATGCATATGATTAGAATTCATAGATTGCTATAATAATATTATACAAGATATATTAATACAAATTAATATAAAATATTAATACATATTAAATTAAATTATATATACGTATACTATAAAAAAAATTCTACATACATATACTGTAAACTGCTAACTCTTGTATCTGGGTATATATATTGCTAGTATTATACCTAGGGTACCAAAGCAGAGGGGTACATTATTTAAACTTTATATATATTTATATGTGTGTATATAGATATTTGTGAGTATTTTTTATTGAAGTATACAATGTATAGTATCTAGCTGTAAATCAAAATTAAGCTACTAAATCTCACCAAGTATAAATCATAGAGAGGTACTTAATTAGCAGTTTATGGTAAATAAATTTATTAGGTGGCATACCAAATTGGCTTAAGACATGCTATTGGCATGCTACTATTAGCATACTCATACTACTATGCCAGATATCCTAATATATATATTATATATTTCTCTACATTAACAAACAACTTTACTCAAATATCTAGATCCCTTACTGTAGCTCAAGATCTCAACCTTAATTATTATAACCCTATCTATCTGTACTATCTGAACTCTTAAATAATATACTCACTATAGCCAAAACTTCTAATACCATTTCTAATATACTTTTTTTAAAAGTAATATATTAGTACTCTAACTAAATTAAATATCAAATACACTCTTTATATATTTTTAATCTATCCTAAATCTAGATGAGCTTTGGCTACTTTTGTAGATTTAGACTATAGATAAATATCCAGATTTACTTTTTAGATTTTTTTAGATATCTGAGTTCTTATTATTAGTACTAAACTTAAAATACAAAATCTTTTTCAATCATATAAAAAGTTTTCATTAAGTTTAATAAAGATAAAAGCAAAATTTTATCTTAAATATTAATATATAAATATATATATATACTATATATATATTTAAATATCTTTTAACCAATTTAACCAATACTAAACCCTTTAACCAACTAGTCAAATTGGTTAAACTGTTCTGGTCAAGCTTAACTATTGACTAGTCTATACCAACTCTGGTTATAACAGAGATAGTATAATACAAATTTTTTGATATTATATATAAAAAGCTAAATCTAATAAAGTTTAGAGAAATACTTTTAAAAAAAGCAGAGAAGAAAAAAATAAAAGCAAAAAAAAACTTTGTTAAAAATTTTTGTACAAAAAATATGTATAGTAATCTTAGTAAATTTCCAAGTTTCAAGAAAAAATTAAAGTTATATATTAAGATCTTGGTTTATATTTAGCAAAATAGTTTTTATAACTTTATATAAAAAAAGAGATATCATCATATTGTAATATAGGAAAAACAAAATGATATTATATTAGTTAAGAAGAAGAAAAGAAAACTAATAAAAAAATAAACAAAAAAAAAGAAAAAAAAAAAAAAAAACTCCTGCATTCTATTATGATTATTAGTAAAGAGATTACAAACATTAAAAAGTTATAAATAAAAGATAGAAAAATATAATTAGAAATTATATTAAGAATAGTGCTAGATTATTCTAGTTTGGCTCTTGGCAGGGCTAACAAGGTCTTTTATTTTTCTTGGAAAGTAGTGCAATAGATTACACTAGTAGTTGCTTATAAGATAACTAATTAATACCAGACCTGCTATATATGGATATTAAAGTAGATTTTATATATATTTCTTTTATCTTTAATAAAGTACTAACAAAACTATTAAAGAGTTAAAAAAAATAAAAAAAGTCATAAAGTATTTATTTAGACTATCAATTATAGAATAAGAGTATTAAAAAATATTAATAGTAGACAAAGATTGTTTTTAAGTTGCTAAAGTCAAATATAAGTTGTTGTACCAAGAGTAGAAATATTATTAAAATAATTAAAGAAGTTTATAATATGATATTGGAGTTGTATATTTCAAATATTATAAATATTATAAAGATTGTAATTAAAAAAAGTACTATTAAAAGTGAAGCAAAAAAGATATACTCTGTATTTGGCTATAGTAAGATATTTGCCAAGGATTATATTGTATATAAAAAGAAAAATAGCAATA